AGCCCTTAGCGATTACACGGTTACATGCACTGCAGGATAAAAGCAGAAGTAAGCTTTATACTCCAGACCCCACAGCAAAGAATTCCAGGGCTCCTGCCGGCCCTGCTTCTGGGGAAAAGGCTTCGCTGCAGCAACAAAGCCACCCCCCGGGAGCAGAGTCAGCAAAGGATGCTGGCCCTGCTCCCAGGGAGCCGGAGTGTAGCCCTTAGCGATTACACGGTTACATGCACTGCAGGATAAAAGCAGAAGTAAGCTTTATACTCCAGACCCCACAGCAAAGAATTCCAGGGCTCCTGCCGGCCCTGCTTCTGGGGAAAAGGCTTCGCTGCAGCAACAAAGCCACCCCCCGGGAGCAGAGTCAGCAAAGGATGCTGGCCCTGCTCCCAGGGAGCCGGAGTGTAACTTGCAATGGGGTAGGGAAGTGGCCAGCCCAGATGGGCTCCACGGGGTGGGCAATAATTTTTGAAGGGGGGCCACTTTGCAAATTTCAGAAGGGGCGGGGCCACAAGACTTCAAGTGCTCCCCTGCCCACAGACACTGACTGATCTGGGGTGGGGGGAGCGTGCAGTCTCCTCCCCCAGCCAGGGCCTTATGGTTCTGTCTGGTGCCACACGCCCCGGCAGGGGAAGGAGACTTTGCACATTCCTTCATCCCCAGGTTTCAGTTGGCCTGGGGGCGGAGGAGTGGCAGGGCAGCTGCAGGCAAGATCAACCCAGGATGATCCCCAGGTTAACCAGAACCACTAAGCCTCATCCATTAAGGGTAGGCCTTACCGGTTAATCTTTTACATCCTTAAGAAGAACAGGGGAACAAAGTGATTTTCCCCCCTCAGGTTTTGCTAGTGTGTGCCACGACTTTTGAAGTTTCTCGATAGAATTATGGTAGCATTCTAACATCGAACAGGACTGAGTCCCACTGAGCTAGGTCTTGTAAAAAACACACAGAGGGAAAACACAGTCCTTGCCTTGCAGCGCTTAAACTTTGGATTAAAAAAAACCAAAAAAACAGGTTATGAAACAAGTGATTTAAACTGGGATCCTGATCTTATTTGTGAAATAAGGATTTAACCTTTCAACCAAGTTGAAAAAACGTTTAGTAATTTTTGCAGTAGACAGATATTGCTCATAAACAAGGAACAGCCTTCTCCAGCCAGCCCATCTGGCAAGTGAATAACCCGTCTTTCAGGTGCTACACAAAACTCCACTTTTTAAAAAGCTGATTTTTATAAGAGGTCTTTATTCACTAACTATTCATTTAGGTCTTTTAAAGTAATGCTTTGCAGTTACATAGCACCTTTCATCAGAAGACTGCAAAGCACTTTACAACATTTTGTCTCATAACATCCATGAGGTAGGAAATTAGATCTAATTTACAAATAGGGAAACCGAGGCACAAAGGGGAAAAGTGACTCAAATAAGGCTCTGATCTACATTACAAGAGCAGTTTTATGATGTATCTAGGTCTAGGGCTACATGATGAGTCAAATCCAGAGCTAGGAATAGACCCCAAGAGTCCTGTTTCCAGTGACACTGGATAATTTTGTTAAAGACATTAGCTGTCCAACAGTTCCAGATGGAGCCCTGTGGAATAGTTCAGTTGTTAGGATTATAAACACATATAGGATACAATAAGACATGAAGCAGTTTGATCCAAGATAGTCTGTTCATTTGTGGATAAGCTATGAGAGATATCCATTCCAGACCCAATCCAGCATAGTCCAAACACCTGGAATGAAGACTGGATTTTGGTCAATGAACTGGATCGTACCTTTATGCAAAAACGAGGAGTCCTGCAGCACCTTAAAAGACTAACAGATTTGGGCATAAACTTTTGCGGGTAAAAGGATACAGAGTGACATGGCTACCCTTCTGATGCTTGTAACTTTACGATGATCTAATTTTAATTTTTCAAAAACTTTTTTCCAAGAGCTGCCCTTTGCATTTTACTTTTTAAACCTCCTTATCCCAGGAGAGAGTTTGGGAAATTCCAGTTGTTGAACCCAAACTTCCATCAGTTAGCATTGAAAATCCTTAACTGAATGTTGCCCTCTTATCAATATTTCAGAACTGGGCACCAGAGAATCCAATATGAATAGATTCTTTGAACCTGCTAAAACAAACAATTCTAAAATTTTGCAACATATGTTGGGGCAGAATTAGAGCAGATATAAATACCTGTCATTCTGTGGATATCAATAGATGCAGCCTTTAATTTTTATCCTTTTTTAAAAAATTGTTGGCCAAAACACCCTCTTCTTCAAATCTTAATAGCAAAAAATTGAAAATTCTTTAGACAGAGCTTAGAATAGTAGAGCTATGAACTTCTAAATTAGGTGCTTTTTTCGGGCCTGCAAACTAACCCGCAAAGATGTTCCCTTCTATCTGAAATGTACTGTAGAGCACTGGAGGAAAGCAAATCCAGATTCTGATTCCAGTGGATTGATCAAGAATGTTAAATAAGAGAACACACAAGGCAACAAGAGAATGCAACTAGGCTTTGCTGTGGCAGCAAAACTCCCAAGTGCCCTTATTTTATATATAAAGCATGGAGACTGAAAAGATGAGCCCAGTATACAAGGTTTTAAACACCATAACTGTTTTATAAGGCAATAGCGAAACTCTTGCTCAGCGGACTGATACGAGTTATGAGAACTGTTATAAAAACAGAGATAGTAACTCTGGCACGAAAGCTCCCTTAGCTTGGCCATGATATTACTGCACCCTTAGGCAATAAGAAACCAATACTCCTGCTGCCATTTTATTTTAAGTTTGCGAGGAGACATTACTGAGCTAGAGACTGTTGCCAGATGAATGCACATTTTATTTTTTTAGATCAGTGGCTAATGAGGTTGATGGAATAATTAATACCACATGCATCTTTCCTTTGTGCCTGATTCTGAAGTTTTAAGCAAGTTTGACCTCCCATGGAAGCTCATGGAGATTAGTGTATAAAATATGCTCAGCATCCCACTAGAGAATGTCATAACTGTGGAGAGGACAGCCGCACCCGAAAAAGGCGCTTTTAAAATCTTTGCAAAATTGACATTCTCAAATTACCGGCTCTAGCTGTAATTCACTATTGTAACATATACAGTAATATGTAACAGGGCATCCTGGGTTCCTCTAAACAATCTTAACAGCTATGCAGTCTTATCTGTGCCAAAAAATAAACACTTGAAAATCACGTCAGTGGATTAGGACCTAAAAATAAGTCAAGAAATCTTATATGCAGGAAACAGCCCTTCTGTTTGTCATGCTTTGTCATTCCTTTGCCGTGTTCAAACTAAAAAAAAAAAAAGTGAGTTCTTTTCTACTTAAAGGGAACATTTCAAGTTACCGGGCAGCAAGCAATTCAGATAGAACTATTTATAACAAAAATAAAGTAAGTGTTTTAGGATACCCAATAACTATGAAACACCACAGGTAATTTATATTTACATCTTCAGTGTTGAGTCCAATCCAAACGGTCAAAGATCTGAGAGGCTGAGACAGCACTGGACTATGGAGGAAATGCATATTATCTCTCACAAACAGACACAAAGCAGAAGTTATCACACCGGGAAAAAATGAGCTACTGCCCTGTTAATATGACAAAAAGAACTCAAACTACAATGAACTGTTTACCATACACAAAATTAAAAAGACAAATACAACATTCACCAATGTTGCTTTCAATCAGTGACGTTAAAGTAGTTCAGATTTGTTTTCTGACAGGATAGGAGGGTTAATTATTTTTCATTCCAAGTACCTGGAACATACTGACGTTCTGTAGTTCCACAAACAGCAAAGAGTGAGGTTCTCCAGAGACAGAAAGAAAAATGAATAAGTCACTCATCATATACAAATAAACTATTTTATTCTACGGGAATAGTTCTGTAACTTCTAGCAAGGGTAAAACCAGAAATTTTTACTTGAAAACAATCCTAATAGGATATCTTGACTGTTTCCCTTGCTTATTCATTGGGGCGGGGGAGGGAAAAATCACATAACTCTCTAATAAAAAGGGAAAGAAAAAACAAACAATCTGACAAAGACATTATAGCTGCACTCAACAGGAATATCTAAGAATTACAATAATTCATAGCTATTTCCTGTGATGTAGTAATATTGAGATTCAGGGCAGACCTGCATGCAACTGCTTATTCTGGGGGTTGTTAGGGCGGGGCGATAGCATGTGAGGGATTGGGGTTTTTTTTTGGTTTTGTACAACCATACGCTATCTGTTGTTGTCAGTTAAAGGCAAAGGGGTATTTTTCTTCCTGAAACACATCAGCTGTGCAAACACAGAACAGCTAACTACTTTTAATATTACTACAGGGTGAAGGTTAGTATTTTTACATTGTAAAATTAATGTAATTGAGATAATTCAGCCTTCAAGTCTCTGGGTAGTTTATTGGTAGGGATATATATTATGGCCAGAGTATTCCCCCCCCCGCCCAGCTTTAGGACAAGATGTGAAATAAACGGTCTCTGATTAGAAATAACAGACACATAAGGACTTGGATCATTCAGAATCAGGGGCAGGTTTACTTTTCACACAGTCTTCTGTATTAAAAAATACATCAGTGAAATCCGTTACAGGCAGGGACAGGACTACCGAGTACACAACGTCAATAGACTACTTTCCAATTTTATTGTTTAAATTACCTTTGTTACTGCTAAAAGTAAAGAAAATTAAAAAAAACAAAAAAACAAATTTAATACAAGGCTGTTGGTTTTCAACTCCTGAAAATGCAGCGAGAGGGTCAGATATCAAAACCACTGCTACAGAAGTTGGGCAAATGGCTGCAACTACTGATAAAAAAAAAAGTACAATTCTCTTTAAAAATAGCTTTGTATTCCCAATGTATTTACGACCTGTTGCCCTCAGAAATGAGCATCTTACGCTTGAGAAAATGGAGAGACAGATGTTATCTAATCAGCGTCCTGTCCTCTGGATACAGTATGGGAAATTTCCCCCTTTTAAAAGATACAGTAACAGCCAAGCCATTGAAAAAATCGTTTCAATTTCCAACACTATCACTACATTTCTTTGGGTGGGGTGGGGTAAAAAACCACACAAGGTATTTTCTACCACAGTTCTGTTGTCCAAAGTAATACTGCACACGCTGCAAAGGTGGAAAGAGTATCTTCACTTTGAAATGACCAGGCCTTCCAGACTTGCATGGTATAAAAACAAAGAATTGAAGGGGAATGGGAGAAAGAGAGAAGTAAAGCTGCCTTGCATCAAAAAACAAAACAGCCCCTTCCCCCAAACAACCATTTTTGTACACCACAGCATTTGCTAGATTACATCATCAGACTGCATAGGCTAGTCAAGGGATTTTCTGCACACAGCCCTAGATCCTTGCTCTCCTATACGTAATCCAGAGATTTCTGTCCCATAACATGATTGCTCTGATGCTCGACTTACAGCGTCTCCTCCACATCAGAGATCCAACAGAGTCGTAGTTACTAGTATGTACTAAGAGCTAGACTCTGGGGTCATGTGACTGTCTGAACGCAGCCCAGGTAGTCATCCACTACGGTAGTAATCTGGCAGATGTACCACTGACTTCTGGCTTAGTATCTTTCTTAACCTTTGATCCCAGTAAAAAATAAAATAAAACTAAAAAAGTGTGTGTATACATAACGGAAGGTTCTATTTGTCTAGACTTCACTGCACCTTGTCTTCTGTCCACATGAAGATCTATAGGATCTCCACAGGCTCTTTGGCAGCAACGGCTGCCAGCCATTGGGCTGCAAAGTCATGTGAGCCACAGTCTAGTTCTCTATGCCCATGGTTACTATGGTAGAATTTACACAACAGTTTTCCTTAAAAATATTTCACAATTTTGTTTTAATCCCAAACAAATGAAGGATGTATGCATCGCTTGAACAGGTTAATTCATCTTGAGTTTGTTTAGAGGATTTATCACTGCAGTGGACACTGGCGTTTCTTGCAGCTTAAAGTAGTTTGCTTCCTTCTGATTCCAGTCTGCACATCCATTGTGGTTCAAAATATGCCTGTGTAGTGATGTTAACTCGGCTTATTTGATACACAACGTTTTCTGAAGGCTGGATGTGTTCACAGTTTGGTACTTGCAACATGTATTGAAAGGAAAATACCCCACTTCAGTTAGTCTGACAATTCAATATCAGAGTCCTCTGATCTGACTTTGGCAAGTTCTTCGTGTACCTCCCTCACCATAAGAATACGTGTTAACATGATGTCCAAGGTCCCGGGGTCTATTGGCAACGTGGAGTACCACATGGGGCTATTAGGTACACAAGAACGCTCAGGCTGAAGGTAAAATACATCACTTCTCTGCTTCACGCTTTCAGAACTGTTAGTGTAAAGAAAGGAAGACTGTGTATCAGAAGGCAGCATTAGCAGTCATGCTTACAACGCAGTTGAAGAGGCAGAAAGCAAAGTCGCTAAGACCTAACATTACCTTCAGACTGGAACATTACAATTTAAATAGTAAAATCACTACTAATGACTAATCTGCCCCTTTCACTGCTGTGAGCAGCCTAGCTGTCTCCCAGCTCAACGGGCATTCGTGGTCTACAGAACCAACCGGACAGCTGTGTCTCCTTATCGAGGGAGTTTTCAATAGCACTATCATCCCATTACATGGTAACAATGTTTCAACACAACTAACATTCTATCTCAGAATAAAATCGATTCCTACTGTGTTCTAGGCAATGGGGGAGCTCCTGCTAAGCATATGCAGATTAACTGCATTACTGGCATTTCCCAAGACACTTGAGAACTCTTGCAGCATTCTTTGGGATACTGAGGGTACAAGAGCAAGTGATCTAGAAAACCTGAGCCTATCCTGCTCATTAATGATAGCAGAATGGTGAACCCATCCACCTGAAATCTGTAATCTTGCCTAGCAAGAAGTGTAAAGCTCTCAACAGAAAGGATTCCTCTCTCTGAAGGGCTTTAGAATTGTCACATTAAAATCCAGAAAGTGAAAGAGGCTTTTTATTGCCACTACTGCAGAGGCTGAACTATGAGAGGTCATAAGAAGAGGTGCAGCAAATGTGTCATAGCTCCGAGTGACACCTTGACCTATGCAAGCAAACATAAGGAATGTGTGAAAGGAGCAGGCAGTGGAGAGGGTTGCTGGACATAGCCCTGGCTCAGGCAAAGCTATTTTGCACTACATTTGGTGGCATGTGTTTCAGATAATGATTTCTAGGGTTATTTGCTGCCACATCACATCACTCTCTGGTATGTGTGTTTTTCTGTAGAGAAGAATACTGAACTCCACTGCTTAATAACCTCATGTGAAGAGTGGGGGAGTGACCAAATGATCTTTGAACATCCTTTTTCTACCACCTTCTTTGTGACTCCTGCAGTAAAGTGAATCTCAATTAAATGCCAGGAGCTCTACTTGTTATCTCTAAGTCACACTTTGCCACCCTGTTTTATAAGGAAAGTGCTACTGAGATGTTACCTATTTTTAGCAACAGATTATTGCATTTTAGAGTTTGGCTCTACTTCTTGGCACAAGGTGCCAGATTACAATTATTTTGCAGGTTCCTGGGGGTTACTGCATTTTTTTCTGGCCCTCTGCTCCACCCAAAATGGGGAACTCTTGGCTAAGCTAATGCAAACCACAGCTGTGTTACCATATCACAGGATTTCCCAATTACCTGTTGAACTCCAAGGAACCTGCTGGTACCTGGCTCCATTTGAGCTCAGAGACTGTACACAGAGGCAAAGGGTGGGATGGCCCTGGTGCTGACTGGCTCGATGGAGATCAGGGGGACGGATAATTTCCTTGTGGGGTATGTGCATGGGGGGGTACCCCTTCCTTGGAGGATGTTTGCAGAAAACGTCCCCTTGGAAGCCGCAGAGTTGTCCTGTCTCACCACAGGTTTCCTTGCAGGAGGGCACAATCTAGTCCAAGTTTAATGCAAAAAATTAGGCTGTGCAATCACTCACCATTTTGACAAGTAAAACTCATAGAGTCGGACTGGACATCTCAGAGGGTTATCTGTGTTTTCAGCCATTTCCACTGCTGTTGGAACCTCCTCGTCCTCACTCCGTTTCCTTTTTCCTACAGATAACTTATCTGGATACAGGAAAATGACAGCAGGTAAGCTCAGTGGAGAACAAGTCTCCTCTCTGAGAGTAAGCTGAAGCTATTTGGCTTAGTTCTGCACATTGATGGGGCTTTGCATAGCCCATAAACTAAGGGCTGTTTAAGTCAAGTCAAGTCAAGTCAGACTCTAGAAACCATTTTATCACCTGAATGCCATCATCTGTGTCACTGATAGCTAAAAAGGAGCCCAACATAATAGAAAGGATCTGTTTCTATGCAGATTTCAATGCTGGATCAGGAAGAATGAAATTGCTTAAACAACATTTCATTTCACCTTGTTAACACTAGTTTATAGGGACTGGTAAGACCCCAACTCAAGTACTAGAACACCACAGTCCCAGTACAAAGTTATCCTCAGTTTGTCAGGTCCCCATCCACCTCCATGTGCGTATAGCCTCTCTAAGATAGACCCACTTACCTACCACTAGTGCTCCCTGTAAGCTGAGTGCATGGGCGGCCACCCAGAAGAGATTCAAGTACTACCCAGCTGATTAGCAGAGAGCCCATAGCTGCTCAAAGCCAGAAGCATATATTTCTATTGGTGGTACACACCTGCACTTTCCTTGGTGCACATAACAAAATTTATTCTGCTCATGGATGGAAAAAAAAAAGTAGAGGGAACACTGCCTTTCATATCCTTTTCTCTTCCCATCACCTTCTGAGCATATACCCCCACTTTGTTTTACTATGCGATCCCACACCACTTTTAATCACAATGATATAAAAATGAAATGAAGATTTACTATACTATATAATATCTTGGACAGAAGACACAGAATGAATTTTCAGTAAGTTCCAAACCTAAGGGTATGGCTCTACATACAGCGCTGCAGCGGTCACGATAATGTTGCCGCAAGTGTGGTGAAGATGTTCAATGCTGACAGAGACTTCGCCAACTGACATAACACTGCACACAAATGCTTATGCCAGTGTAACTTAATGTCGCTCAGAGAGGTGGAACATTCACACCTCTGAATGACATAAGTTTGCCGACATAGGTTATATCTTCACTATGTAATGGCCCAATTCTGCACACATTTATAACACTACTGGAATCAATGGAGCTACAAGTGATGTACGTTAATGCAGAAACTGGCCCCATATCCTCCAGAGGCCTTAGAACAATCAGCCCAGACATTACGAAGTACCTCCCCTGTGAGAGATTCTATGAAGACTAAATGGCATAACAACAGAAGCTACTTAGAAAAAAAGTAGCGCACTGTAATCAGTCTTATTGAGGACTTCAACTCTTGAGAGAAGAGTAGCACTGTTACTCTCCTCCTGGAGAAGTTAAGATCATGTAGCTCCAAGCAAAAGCATACAAACACCACCACCTATCTTAAAAGAGAGAATTCTTAGCTTACCAAAGTTAACTAAAGTAGTTTGATGATCCTACTTGCTGTCCTTGTAAAGTCACTGCTCAGTGAGAGTTAGCATGCTTCCACCAAGTTTGCAATTCACAAACAAGTCAGACCTTATCACCCCTCCAACAGCTCCTCTTTCACAACTCATTGCCACCCTTCACACAATCAGATTTAGCTTTAGCGTATCCCATCTTACCAATGAGATGCTGAACCACGACCACAGCAAAGGAAAGCTGCATTCTCTCTCTCTACCTGGGGCCTGAAAAATGTCCACTTCCTCTTCCCGAATTTCATGTGTCACCAGCTCTGGCTGGCTTGGCTTTATCTGAACTGTTGTCCAGTAGGCTTTTCTATCCTGTTTATCTTAGGGCCTGATACACTGTGGTAGGGTGTGCGTACAACAAAACAGACCGCCACTAAACAAACTAACTTCAAGTGTCCCTGACTTCAATGGGGGCTAAAGGTGCTCCCCATCAGACTATCAGCTCTTCAGGAAGGGAATGAATCTCTGTGTGATTTGCTTAATAAGCTTATAATGCTCTATAAAAAATGATCTTTCAAATATTTTGGGCAACTCATCCACAAATTTCAAAATTCGTGGAGGTTAGGTCCATCAATGACTATTACCCAGGATGGGTAGGAATGGTGTCCCTAGCCTCCATTTCTCTGGAGGTGGGTGACAGGGGAGGGATTACGTGAAGATTACCTGTTGTGATCCCTCCCCTCTGGGGCATCTGGCATTGGCCACTGTCGACCGAGAGGATACTGGGCTAGATGGACCTTTGGTCTGACCCAGTCTGGCTGTTCTTATGTGAATGTCTATTAGCTGTCAGGGCTCAGACAGAATTCTGGTTTAAACCAGGATAGAAGTCAAAAGAAAGGGAGGGAAAACAAGGAGATAGAAGTGAAAGTATCAGCAGAATTCCAGATATTAATAAATAAGCAAAATGCACAACATTTTTTCCCTTGGTTTAAAATGAAGCATTGGCAATGCTGGTGGGGCTATGTAAATCCAAATTAAAAGCACTCAAGTAATCAGAAAGCAGCAACACACCTGATTCTACCTCTGGTTTTTGAAAAGGTGGGAAAAACCGTAAGTACGTCATCTTGGTGTTGTATTTCAGAGTCCGGGTGCGTCTCATAACGTGGGCAAAGGACAGCTTCAGATGCTCACTGACATTCTTTAGTTGGAAATATTTGGTATTGAAGAACAGAAGTGTGTTCAATAAGACTATCGGGGAATATGCACCAAGTTGTTTACATTCCCATAAATGTTCCTCTTCAATTCTCGAGAACATGTAACCTGAAGATAGTAAGTAAAGGAAACAGAAAAGTCAGCCCTTTACTAAACAGTCATCTCATTGTAGGGGCAACTCTCTGCCCTCAGATATGAGTGTGCACCTTCCAGTGACCAGAGGGCACCATGTTACCCTTTGAAGATTTTCATGGCTTGGAGGAAAGCAATATACCCCTATGTGTGCATGTGTGTGTGGATACATTAAAAAGGCAGGTTCTGCCAGACAAATTATAATACAAATGAAATCCTCCTAGACAAGCTTATGCATTAATGAACTGTACATCAGGTCAAACCAGACCTACAGTAAGCAGATTTAGTTTCACTGAAATCAACAGAAGTACATGCATTTACACAAAGGATAAGTATGCTCTATCAGGCATGAGAAAGACCAAGCTACTGATCAGTAAGACTTTTCAAAAACAAATGGAAAGAAAGGTCTAAAGCAGCCATTATCTCAATAAGGCCCATGCACAGTTTCACGTCATATAACTTAATCAATTGCTCAAATGTTAACACTTCCTGGGGTGTAGGGCATGAATAATTATGACAACTCCATGTGGAGATCAATTGCTGTGACATAGTGAACCTGAAAGCAGGTAAAGAAAAGGAGTTATGAAGGCTAAATTACAGATGTGTTAGGCAATCAGAAGTCTTGGTGGATATAGCACCATGTAAATGAATGAGAGCTTTTCTGTTTTTCATTAAAGGCAAAACACAGAAAGATGGTCATGAATCCAAGTACTCAGTTACCACTCTCATGAAAGGTTCTTTGGTATCCTGAAACAAATCTCATCTATCCAAATTACCACCTTTGTCTCATTCAGGTGTGCATCTCAAGTATACTACCCAGCCAACTCCGCAGGAAACAGAGGGAGAATTTATAACAATACTTTGGAAACTTCCAAAGAAAGATGCTAACTGAAGGGCATTTAAAACATTAATTCATGAAGGTCCATGACATATAGCTAAAGGAAGCATGATACCCATTTTGCAGAGGAGTAACCTGAGGCAAAGAGCTGTCTAAACGTGCCTTGCCAAAAGTCCATAGTGAAAAAGTGGAAAAGTTGAATATGCTATCTAGGATTCCTGTATCAGAGGTGTAGCCATGTTAGTCTAGGATTCCTGGTTACAACAAATGACTACAAACTGTAGAGAGGGGAGGAGGATAGCACCTCACAGTACAAATTATGCTCCTAATCATGGTAGACTTAATGAAATACAAATTGAATCTCTCTATCCCGGCACTCTCTGGTCCAGCAACACCCATGATCCAGTATGATTTTAGTTAGCCAGATGTTCGCTTGTCAGGGTGTGGCCAAGTGTTCCATGTCCCATAAAGTTTGTTAACAGTCAGCAGTCCTGGCTCTAAGTGTTCTGTGCTAGAATTTAGCTCTAATTTACCCCGAATGTCTTCTAAGAGCCCAGTAAGCAGTGGGAGTGTTGGAAATGATGCTAGACAATATTGACCTCCCCTGGTTCAGCAAATTCTCTGGTTCAACCCCAGTCAGGTCCCAAGGGTGCCGGACTAGGGAGGTTCAACCTGTAATTCGATTTTGCTGTTCTTTCACCATAGCACTCTTGAGTATATAAGGAGCAACCTTGAGAACACATTAATTTACAAAGATAGGTTTCACTGTCATGCATGTATATAAATATTACACAATATGAAAAAATAATTGTCCTACCATTTGGAAGTATTGTAGGTTCCCAGATTTTCAATAGTTTTGTAAGTTCAATCATAAACCTGGAATAGGGCTCGGTAAAAATGTTATCTATTCTACCGTTCTCAAACAGGTACTACAAGAGAGAAGAAAGGAAGATACATAATTCAAAGTTACATAGAAAAGCACTGACAGGTTATGGGGTATCAGATTTATTTTGGTGCTCTCCTATTTCTCTTTTCCTCCCTTTTACCATTAAAGAATGCAATTCCAAGAGAGTTAGGTTCCATAGCATTTTACTGGCACGTATGATATTAAACACAGGGGCTGGGACCTTTTTTATTAAATAGGAGATGCAGGCAGGAAACAATGTTCCAAACTAGAAAATTCACCATCCTCAAACACAACAAAATACATTCCCAATTATGTCTCTGTCTACGGGTGCCATTGTGATCACCCTAGCACCTTTATAATCAACTCGGCTTAAATATGCTACTATAGGAACTCTTGCAAATACAGATAGTGCTTAATATAAGCATACAAAGGCCACAACAACAGACTTATTATTATGTCACAGGCAGGCTTGTTTTGTACATGCTTGGGGGAAAAGTTCAATCTTCATCATGAATGTATAGTCTTTTAATGGCTAAATGGATTAGTATAAAAACATTCAACTGTGCCCTGGGAGAAAAAAGGGTTAGCTTGAAAAAAAAAAATGCAACACAAAGAAATTTGGGCTCTTCCTGGATGCCTAGTTATAGGCAAACCAAACTTATAGCTCTCTTCCATTTTGTTAAGCATGTCTGGTGAAAAAAAGTTAAGGTGACAAGTCAACAACCAAACAAATGAGATTTAATGCCAGCAAAAGCATTGGATCCCCAAATCTCTGAATGGTTACTGTAGAAAATGAATAAATATGCAACCGAAGGAAAAACTGGCACCATGTTGAACTGAGTCAGTTTGAATTTTAAAGAACTGGTCATTCTAGCTTACAGTAAGCAAGCAGGCCACAACAACTTGTTACGCTTTTTGTCCTGATTGGTTAATTCTAATTTTATTGTTCTCATTATATTATTTCTGTAAATGGTATCTCTGAGATGAGTAACTGCCGAGCAGAGGCAGCCCAAAATGATTTCCAGATATGCATGTTAGAAGGGTGTTCCTTAACCACTCATGAGAGAGCCTACACTTGCTGCCAGACACAGGTTTTAGATCTGTGTGTGAGATGTTGAGAATAAAGTCTTAAAAATGGGGTATCCAAGTGGCTCACATTTCCAAAATAAACTCCCAAAAGCTACCCAGTTCTATGACACTACATTAAATAACCTTTTTTTGCACTTTCGGCACAGCAGTAGTTCAGTATGTTACCTGCTGAATTCCAAGGCACAAGTATAAGATGCTATCAGGATCATATTTTTCACCATTTGGTCTCCGCACCTCCTGGATAAACTGGCACAAGCCAAAACTCAGTTCAGCGAAAGTGCATGCAAGAATATCCTCCTTGAGCTTCACAGGCCGAACTGTGAGGAACAGAAGCACAAGGGACATAAGATTCCCTTCCACAAGCAAGTCCTTCTGCAGGCCTCAGTCCCTTACATCACATGAGCCGAGAAGTTACAACATCCATCTGTGACACAAAACTCAACTCACACCTTAAAAATAACAACTCACCTTCCCATTTGTTAGTTAATTATGAAGCTTAGTTATTTTTTTCTGGATATTTAATAATATAACCTTAACCACCACCATACATAATGAATACAAATGTTAACTGAATAAAAAAGTTGGTTCTTAAAATTAAATGAGACTGTACAGTAGTGCATTCACTGAACTCATGAAATAGTGACACTGTAGGTTTCATTAATCAATTTATTTTCTATAGCTGAACTCAGGGGAATCTCAAGTGGGAGAATGATCTTGAGAATTTCCTAGTAGCTCTGGACATTAATTCATTGGGTACAGCATGTTTGCCTTCATAAATGGAGGAAGAAATCAAGAGTTTAAAGGGCCCAGAATCTGGAGAGCTGGAAGAAGAGAAAATATAAGGGTTGGTTCCAGAACAAGTAGTTAGAGAACTCTGAGTGAATGTACTGGGCCTGCTCATCCCACAAATAAGTTGCTTCTTCAGACTAGAGAGGAAGCCTTTGTGGGGTAAATCCGGGTATGGAGATGGTGCCTGAGAGTATGCAAGAAAATAAGTGGAGTTTCCTCATCCGCAAAAACAGGGCAGACAAACTCAATGGTTTGCATTTCTGTGGGGACTTATCCCAATGGTTTACACATAACAAAAACAATTTCAAAAGGGCATGCAGGAAGCATTCCTAATCGAAAGATTTTCCTCTTGGATCTTTCTTACACAAGCCCCTCGGTTTTTTCTTTAAAAAACCCCCCCCTTTTTTTGGGGGGGGGGGGGAGGAAGGAAGGAAGGACAGAAAGTTTAGAATACTTTTGGGGAAATAAAAACAGTTAGGTCGCTGCAACCAAACCAATTCACAACTCCAAGCTACACATTTTCAGTTGGCCTCAGAAAACATGCCCAGAAAACGCTTGGTCTACTCCTAAGGGGTCAGACTACAAATGAGAAAGAGAAAAGCAGTGGCACTTAACTCAGACTCTGACAGAATCCCTGAATTACTGGATGCTACTGCTAAAAATTATTACCAGTGAAAAACAAGGTTGACATGTCAGTTATCATTCTTAGACTCTAAAGTCAGCATATCAATGGTATGAAAGGATCAGTTCATGTCCTTCTGAGCTAATTTCAGGTGGGCTGTAAGATGGCATTGAGACACATTTGGAAGATTTTCCGTGCAACAATAAGGGGGCAAGAAATAAAGGGCTCGATTCTTCACTTCATCATTCACTTAAAAACTAGTGAAGAGTTATAAAATTACAGATGGTAACAACACAAGGTTCAATACAGACGCCTGCTCTACGCTAGCTCAGTCAGAACCCTGCACCTTTATAAACACACCTGTCCTTCAAATCAAGTATCATTTATGCACAACGGACGTTTTTAGGGTTCTTACCAATTGTATTATTTATATTGTTCAACATCCAAACTTCAGTCTGAGTCCTACTTCAATAGGTGACATAAAAGATTAAGAGCAACAAACTGGATGAAGTTGTTGTTGTTTTTTTTTTTAAATGAATCAGTAGTCATGAAACTTGAGATCTGGTTCCTAAAATCCTTACTCCACTCACAGGGACATGGACTCAGTACCAATGGCACACCTCAAACTCCACCCTGAAAGCAATATCACAATACATGCACACCAAGTAGCAAGTTTTGCTTCAACAGAAACAAGTTTACCTCCAAATTTTAGCTCCCCTGGATCTTCCTGTGCATTCTTCCACTGGACCCAATTCCTCCAGGCATTTACCCCATACATGTACTTCAGTGTCATCCCAGAAACAGAGCAGCCTGGGTAGGAGCCCTGCATAAGATTCCGAGGCTCCACAGAAACTAAGGACTTCTTCCTTCCCTGCAGGAAATCCAAAAAGCTCATGTAACACAGTGTTCAATTATAGACTCCATTTAACCTGATCTCATAGGAAAAGTGCATTACATTTTGACCAACTGGTAAATGCTTGCACACTTGAAGCTCCTTTTATAACAGTGTCTGAGGACTTCACAAAGAGCGGAGAAATATTTAATCTCATTTTAAAGAAGAGAGAATTAAGGCACAGGGAGGTGTTGCACACCCAGCAAATGAATGATGAGCACATGTGTGGCACGCCGGGGGCAGGGGCTGCCCACATGCCCTGCACCAGGGGCCGGCACCACACATGTGCTGCACACTGGGGGGGGAGGAAGGCCCAGATGTTTCGGCGGGCACATATAAATGCCCCGGCGGGTGCCATGGCGCCCACAGGCACCACATTGGGGACCACTGCTTTAAATAATACCCCATAAAAAGAACACTGATTCCCCTTAGCAAAAATATTGATTTTTATAGAATAAATATAAAATGTAGATAAAATATTTCCAATCCTGATCTTTGTTTTCTTATTTTGACATTTGTTCAAACTCATAAGAAGTAAACATGTATGCAAAATTAGTACCTTAGATACATGGAGTTTATATGATGGAAGGATGTGCTCTTACCCGTCTTTTCGGCTGTGGGAAACCGTCTCTATGTCTTCGCCTTGCTCGTGAACGTGAGTGGAGACCCAGTCCTTTACTGAGTGGGTCAAATGAATCTAAAGTCAAAACAACATCAGCACAAGTTAATTACATACTTTAACTGGGCCACTGTGAAAAGAGAGTTTGAAACATCACTAAGTCTCTTAAAATTAGAGGTGACATATCTAGATACTCCTATTGCATTACTATTAAATAATTAAGCAGTGGCATTAAGTTGAGAATAGGATGAATGCAGAAGGTCACCAAAAAGGAATTATATAGGAAGATACAGCCAAAAGAGAACCTACTGCAGAAGGTTATACAACAGAAGTTACAGCTATTCGGGCATATCTGCAGAATGAACTACGAGCAAAAAGTTAAGACCCTGGTATTCGGCATAATGGATGGTCCAAATAGGAGAGGCAGACCCCACAGAGAATGGGTAGATGATTTAGTAGTTTGGTGCGGAGCTAGTCTACAGAAACTAAGTCACTCTGCACTGGACAGGGAAAGATGGAAGGAAATGGTGAGGGAAGCATCGGACACCAATGGGCATTGAGCCTATGGTTGTTGTTGATGATGATGATGATGAAGTTGCAACAGCAATTTTGGCAATGCTGTCGGCTAAAAGGACGTTCTGACATGGAGGACTCCTGTGTAAGGGACATGAAATTCTCAGGTGGGAGGACAGAGGGGGCCTAATACACTGATGTGCTTCTGTACAAGAAACTGATATCCTTTGTACTCATGAAAATTAAGACACTTCCTCTCCCCATCAGGACAAATAAGTGACATATTCACAAAGAGTAGCGGAAGAGAAACCATTACTCCCTATCAAATAATCTAAACAATGTTTATTTTCAAGTGTAAGAAAACATGTGCTCTATGTTATAAGGATCAAATATCTCTAATAGAGAAGATGTATTGCAGCTTTAACAACAAGTATTTGTACTGAGTACAAACATATACCCTTTGTGGACAAATTAACCTCTTGCAATAAAGGCAATGCAAGGCTAGTTCCCAGAAAATCATATTCTCATATATAACACAAACCTGAGGGAAAGTCTGCCTCCAGGTCCTGCTCCACATCCCCTTTGGAGAACTGCCTCAGCTCAGGGTCTGGCTCCTGCATGGCATTGGATCGTAAGGCATAGTGATTTAGCTCATCCTCCCAGCTGTGTGGAGTTGATACTGCTTCTGATTCTAGATCTCCACTGTAAGTGCTGCCTTGATCTGAAATTAAGAGGACCACATGCAAAACGTGCCCAAGGGAAATATGATGTACAGTAGGCCCAAAGTCCTCTTTACAAATGAAATACCAACCTTTCTCAAATATCTTGGGGTCCAGGAACAGCTCATGCTCAGATGTTTGGGACCCTAAAAAAAATGGATACAATTAGAATTCTTATGGACATGGAATTGTTTTACTTTATTTAAAGCAGCAGCTGAAATACAGAATTTCTTAGCTCATACAATTGATCCAAAAGGTCAGGAGACCAATTGGTTGATCTTGGGCTAAAAATAGTACAGGCAGGTGCTGTGCAGATTCTGTCCTCCCAACTACAGCTCAACTAATACACCTTAACCTGGGCCCCAGTCATCTAATGGAAAAATAAACCCAAACCCTTCTTCGTTCACACACCATTTTAATTCACTTTGCTATTTACTGGGGTATTTGCAGACAAACAAGATTTTTTTTGTCTTTTCACAAGGGGATTCCCTTTCCCCAGGGGATTCCCTTTCCCCTTCTCCAATCTCTGCTACAGCCCAGTCAATAAAAACCTTGCTTAACCAGACAGCAGGGAAACTCTTTAGTGGCATAACCAGCTATATGTTACAGTTCCTGGTGCATGCTGTCTGAAAAATGCAGAAAGTCCTGGAGCAATAGCTTAACTCCCTTTGGGGGTTTCTTACTGCCAATTCATGCTAGACCCCCAGGATCAGAGATGTTGCCCTCTAACCCCCTATACTTCTTCTGGTCCTGGGATAAGTACAGCTCAACCGACCCAAAGTTCTAGCCCATAAACCCTTACAAAAATCACAAGTGCTACTTTTGATTCCGAGGGATCAGGACCTGAAATGGGAATCAAGCAGCAACAATGAATGAGCTTTAAAGAATAAAAACAATGTCCTCAAAACAAACAATAAAAAAAATACAGATGATAGGATATGGAAGCAAAATTATTTCTAAATGGCCCTGGTGTTTAAGTATTCAAGAAGGCATCCTGGCTTTACACAGGTAACCAACATCCCTTATGGATTAAGACCATTTTCACTGCATTCGCCCTTGGGAAAATAAAAAAGCAGTTTGCTGATAGGGCAAAAGGAAGACTTATCATAGCATGACACAGGGGCCCTTAGTCCAATGCAGACAAAGCTAACATTTACTCTCATTTCATATGAATGCTTCCTTTAGTGTCCTTTTGAAAATGATCACATACCTCCATGAGAGTGCGTTTTTTCCTTCTCTTCATCTTCTGCAATCATTTCTGCCATTTGAAGGAGATCAGCCTCAAACGGATTTGTGGGAATCTTCTCTTTGATGTCCTGAATAGTCTCTATGATCTTGTCGGCATTGTCCAGAGTCGTTGGGATAAGCATGGGAACTGGTACCTAGATACACACAGGAAAGTTCAGATTTCTGAGCAGTGACTTGTTTTGTAGCAAATGAAGCAGTTTTTTGCATACCAAATGTATTAAAGAGAACCCAACTATTTTTCTTCCTCTGGCTTAGACTAATGGGGCCACACAGATAACCTGCAGATTGGACAACTCGCTGCATCTCTGCAGTAACCTGAAGGATTCCTCTTACTCTCTCTGCCACCTTCCCCGACTGGCCAGCTTTATGACCCCTCCAATTTTTAAGATCCTGAATATTGACCAAAAATCAATCAAGCAGAACAGGATTGGATGGGATTCCCTCCCAACCCCTTCAAGAGTTCCATAACTGACAGATCTGAGTGCTACAAGAGCTCCATGTCAGAACATATCACCAGCCTCAAATCCCTGGGACCAAGAAAACAGGCTTTGAATAGGAACCCAAGAGTCTCATACTAGATTAGCCCGTGCTAACTTTTTTCCTAAAAGGAGGTCTGTTCTCTGAACTTACATTGCCAGAGATTTTGAAAGCTCCCTGGGAGAGTAGCAGAAATGCTACATAATTAGGTATTCATCTACAAAGAGAAACTCAGTCTGAAGATTTCAGAAATTTTTCTTCAATTTAAATCTTTTGATGATAAAGTTGGGATCTCTGAGTTATAATTTAAAGGTACAACATCAGAGGAGCTTTTGGAGGACGGGTATTCAATTTTAAGTGATCTCTAAGGCAACGTGACATGACTGTTGCTCTTGCAACCATCTTTTCTCCTGAATACTACCTCCTGGGATGTGTTTAGACAAAGTAAGAACAAATATAACCCACACTGCTCTTTGGTCTAGCGAGACCCAACTTTAAACTGTAGGGCACAGAACCACAACATGTCAGATGAGCTGAAGGGTAGCTTACCGGCACTGGGACCCCAAGTGGAACTGGCGTATACTGGGTGAAGAGGTGAAGGGGCACTGGCACAAACACTGGTACAGGAACAGGCACCACAAGGATTTGGGGTCGAACTTCATTTTCCTCTGACATATTTGAAAAAATAAAAATTGTTTTGGATCCCAGAGGCAGAGGTGAGTATGACACTCAGGAATATCTCAGAGTGATCCCAGGAAAATTATTATTAACTTCATTAACAGTGACTTGTGCTTGTAACTACCCATGCACAACCTTGTACGTTCATCCCAGTGCACACACTCCTGTTCCTAGCTCTTAGTAGATAATAAAAAGGCAGATCTACCTAATACAGGACAGGCTTCCTGTGAAGACAGATACATACATTTATCACAGAAAGTCAAGAGCTCTGACTTAGGCCACTCTTCACTGGACTAGCTCTCACCCCCTTTGTATGGCAAGGGCTAAATACTGGTCCCAAAGGGTTAAATGGGAGTTTTGCAATTAATTTCACTCAAATTGGAATGGGGCACTAAAAAGTTTAGACCAGGGCTACTCATCATGCGGCATGGCCCTCAGCCTGTTTATTTGTGGCCTGTGGTGCAGTTTGGATTCATGTGGAGCTCAAGATGAAGCTTGCTGGTGGGAGCCAAAACAAAAAAGTAGTCAATATAATGGTCTTCTGTAGATATGTGTTTTAGTAATTAAATTCCTAGACTGTCATTGCTCATTAAAAGTGCTGTCGGGTGTAAATATTGCATTTTGTTCATATCAGCAGAACTGACTTAAATGGGGCCTGCGTGTTGTGTAGTCTTGCCTTAATCTTTGTTTCATGCCCACCAGTGTGAAAGAAGCTATTTGCATATATTTACATATATTTTTGCATGTATATGCAACCACGCTTAAGTTGCTGCCCTCCACATGTACTGAGAGAATGATTTTTGTCCCTGGGGCTTCCAAAGTTGAGTGGTCCTGGTTTAGATCAACTATTTGGAAAGGATGCCAAATCTGTGCCACTGTCTGCATCAATAAAAAGCCAGCATGTTTATTTTTAAAATGCATCTGCACATGCCAAGTAGATTGTTCCATATCCAATTACATAATGGATAACCCACCCATGTTGAGTCTGAAGCTCCACTCTTAGCAAATCCCCTGCATATTACTTGCAAGTGACATCTAATTTTAGTGCTGGTATTAGAAACTGTTAGGAGTAAAATTCAGACATAAAAAATATTGTGACTATATACACCAGGGATGGGGAGCCTATGGCTTATGGGCCCAAGCCAGCCCATTGCTAAATTTCATCCAGCCCATGGCCCCCTGAGACCTTCTCTCAGGACTCGAGCCACGAGCACTAGCTGGAAGTCCTGAGCCTCGCACAGGTGTGTGGAAATTTTTGGGATTGGTCCTGCCTTGGGCAGGAGGCTGGACTTGATGACCTCCTGAGGTCTCTTCCAGCTCTATGATTCTATTAAATTAAGGGTGTGTGTGTGTGGGGGGGGGTGCTTTAGCACTCCCAGGTTTTGTGTGGGTTCTGGCTGCTGCCAGTCCCCTGCACTGGGCTCTGCCGTAGGCCCCCAGTTGTGGTTCCAGTCTCAGCCCCCTTACCTAGTCTACATTCTTTTACCTTCCACCCCATCCAAAGCCAAGGTCCAGTCTTGGCCCCAACTTTGGGGAGAGGGGGCATGGACAGAGGTAATGGGGGTACCAAGTAAATAGTTTGGGGACCATTGGCTTTCAGCATGCCCACTGTAAAAATTGTTCCAGCACCTCTTCCTCCATGGACCCCCAGAGAATTGGTGCTATGAACAGTGGCTCATCCCACTGCAGGGGAAACACTGAGCTTCTGTGCTCTCCCCCCTCACCCAGCAGGTGAGTGGCCCCCAACTGATTTTTTCTGTTAGTCGATGTTCCCCACCACTATAGACACGAGTAACGAGGGAGAAATAGGTATTTCATACGCTCCTCTGTATATTAGAAGAAAGATGATTTCAGTGAGTACTAGACTGTTATGATTTTATGTCGTGCTCAAATTGGAAGCCAAAAACTCCTTAATTCTAATTTGAAAGTGACATAAGCTCCCTCTGTAGCCTTGAGCATGTTACTTGTCCTCCCTGTTTCACTTTCTATATCTGTAACCTGACAGTACCTTTGTGAAAGTTAGAGTTGATTCCAAAATGCACTCCACGTGCAGCTTTCATAAACTTTAAGGAACGGAAATTGAGACCAAGTCTTACATAGTTAAAATGCAACAGGATACATAAGAGCACTAAGCAATCAAGCAGAACTTTTTCTTTTTTTTTAAAATATATTCTTGTCACACATAGGGTGTATCTAGACTACATGGCTCCGTCGACAGAGCCATGTAAATTAGTTTATTCAGCATAGTCAAAGAAGCGGGAATTTAAATAATCCCCGCTTCATTAAAATAAACATGGTTTCACGAGGCATACCAGAGCGGTCGACAAAGGCTTCCCTTGTTGACTGCACTGAGTCTAGACTCAGTTTATTTTAATGAAGCGGGGATTATTTAAATTCCCGCTTCTTTGACTATGCTGAATAAACTAATTTACATGGCTCTGTCGACGGAGCCATGTAGTCTAGACACATCCATAGTGTTACTCATTTATCTGTAAATCAGGCCTTTGCCTTTTTTTTTTTTTTTTTGTAATTAAAGAAGGCACTCTCATACATACCCGTCTGGCATTCTTTATTCTGGGTATGCGGCTTGCAAGATGTGGCCTTGGTCTGGGTGATCGGCTTGCACAATAATGCTTTGTTTTTTAAAAGTCTCGGCGGTTGTGATGGTGGTAGTTTCAGGGCATCTGTCTGAGTACTGGCCTGGTTTAAAAGAGAAAAGAAATTATGTCAAGGTCAGTATCTCTAGTTATGGTATTTTGTCACAATATGAGATACAAGCCTCCCACATGTCATTTAAAATTTGACATGCAATATGCTTTGCTGTTCAAGTGTGATCAGCACATAAAAATAGCAAAAATGGTATCTTATTTGCTCCTCATGTGACTTCACTCTCTCTCATTTCTGTCAGTGAAGCAAAGTGTATTTTTATTTACAGGCAGTCCCTGGGTTACATGGATCCGACTTACATTGGATCCCAACTTACAAACGGGGTGAGGCAACCCCACACTAGCTGCTTTCCCCAGCAGACCAGGGAGATACGAAGCTAGCGCCCCCCCCTTCCCCCCAGGAGACATGGGAGATGCGGAGCGGCTTCTCAGCAGACACCTCAGCTTGAGAATAAAGGACTGAGGGAAGTGAGGTGTGGGGGTATGTCTATGTGGGGGTATGTGGGGGAGTTGCAAATGAAGCCCAGGATTTGAATTTCCCGGGCTTCATTTGCATATTGCCGGGCGCCGCCATTTTTAAATGTCCGCTAGTGCAGACTCTGTGCCCCGCGACTACGCGCGGCATGGACTAGGTAGTTTGGATTAGGCTTCCTATTCTGAACTACCGCTACTCCTCGTGAAGCCTAATCCGAACTACCTAGTCCGGGCTGCGTGTAGCCGCGGGGCACGGAGTCCGCACTAGCGGACATTTAGAAATGGCGGCGCCCGGCAATATGCAAATGAAGCCCGGGAAATTCAAATCCCGGGCTTCATTTGCAACTCTGGT